CCTAGCACAACACGTATATGGCCCGTTAGGCCCATCAATAATAGATATATGGAAATAGTTAAAGGGAATCTGGCAGATCATAAAAGATTTCAAACAATAATCCCAAAAGTGACGTGTAATACTCCTAACAGACACACATTGTGGTGCCTGTAAGTAGCATTATTAATCCTCAGATCATCAGTGTATTAAGGCATGCTTCTGAAATAATGGAGGGATGATCTCCAACCCATAATGGTGATCACATTTGTGTAATACATTTAACACCTAACAGTAAAGATTACATTAGGTTCTAAGGGTGTGTAACAAAAAAAAACAAAAAACATAAGGCTCCAAAGCAAGACCAAAGAGGTGTAAATTCCCTCAACCCCCTGCCCACCCTTGCCTGATTTGCTAGGCTGCCATGTCAGCTCCATCCTAATGTAAGCTCTAAACCAAAACATGTTTACCTTGCACATCTCAAGAATGATTTGTCACTGCTGCTCCAGCTGCTTTGCACTGTACTTGGCCCCTGGAAAGACTCCCTGATGGTTTCAAGGATAGAGCAAAGTTATCCAGTAAGCACAAATAAATGGGAAGAAGAGTGTTTATTTTCCTCTCCCCTTTTTTTTATCCAGGTATCCTGGTAGGAAGTGTTCTTGCAGCTGATATTGTGTATAGCACTGTTAGGGACTTGTAGTGGACCTGAACTCAAAAAGTAAAGATTTGCTATGTTATATGGAACTTCTTATTTTTAAGATTTACCTTTTTCTCAGAATTATTTTTAAAAAACAGCAGCACACTTCCTGATATTTTAGTGTTTCTAGCCACCCTCGTGCCTATAGCTGTATATCTGCAGTATGAGAGGCACTGCTACCTGTGACTAAGACTCTGGAAATTTGGAGTGAGACTTGGTGATATCACTATTGTGTTGCTCACAGTTCTCCTTGCTGGGGTTCTGACAAGAGAAAGCAAAACTCTGCCTCTACCAAAAATGGTCTCTGTCATTCAGAGGCACAGAGCAGAGCAAGGCATGGTAAATAAGTAAATGAGAAAAGATCAGCTGCAGAGAGACCACAGGCAATACTGGTGACTAGTCTTTTGTCCTCTGTCTGAATTTTTGGCCACAGCTTCTAGGGTTCAGGTCCTCTTTAACAGCACTAGTGGACAGTGAAAAAGTCTATCCTATACCCTGCCCGGACTTCTGGATATAGCACATACCAAAGGGTTTCTATACTGACTGATATACTACTGTGCCAATATTTGCATAGCATTTTGAAGGGAATTTGCAGGAAGTAATATGTTGCATACAATTGTGCAATGATATTGCCTACAGGAGACATAACATGGTAATATTTTATTAATGGCAGTTTAGCCCTCGTTCACACCTGAACGTTTTGTAGCGCGTTCTACGCTCGACGAACGCTCTACAAAACGCTCAGAAATATAAATCCCATTGTATTCAATGGTCTTGTTCCCACCGTGGCGTATTTCCGCCCGTCCCTAACGCGCTACAAAACGGCCCACGCCTGAAAAGGTACATATACTACTTTGGGCCGTTTTGTTGCGCGTTTCCATTGGGATACAGCCAAATAGCCTTCGGAAACGTGCGTTTGTCGCACGACTTTTTTACTGCGAATCGCGGTAAAAAACGCGCGTTACGCCTAGGTTTGAACGAGACCTAAGTTTTTAACTGCTCACTACAATCATATTAAGCATATTAATCACTATTTGTAGAGCTGATAGTAAAACAATGAAACATTAAACTGCAAAACAGGAACACATGGGATTGGCTGCAAAAGGGACCAAAGAGGAAGTCAGGAGAAAACATTTGATTAGAAAGTGTTGTTCACTAAGGAGTTGCAATGTGTTACAAAAGTCAGTAATTTATCTAAAATGCAAAGGAGCTCATAGATGTCAAAAATATGAGCCCTATTAAAATCTGCTTCATGAGGCATCCAATTCCACATTATATTTTGAACACCCCCAGTATTACAACACCGAATACAATACTGTACTCCAGAACAGCATAATGCATTTCAAAACACCGATGTCATACCAGTGGTTGCGGTCCATGGACTTTAATTACCTGCAGGAAATAGAAGTGCACATCACTGCTCCTTGTCTAATATGAAATGGTGCACAATTATCCAATCACATCGTCTGGTATATGAAGCAGTCACACAAACTGAAGAGCAAGTCATGCACAGCCTGGAGATGCCACATCTAAATGAGGAGAGATTAATCAGCATTTGTGCTTGCTGCCTTTACCTAGCTTTGTAAGCCACAACACTTTCTCATTCAGGGCATTGTGGCTGGGAATGTTTAAAGATGGGGATCTCCTCATGTGCACACGTAAGACACATTAAATACAAACAATTCCAAAGTATATATTTTTTTTCAAAAGAATTTATTTGCACACAATATATTTGTAGTAACTTAACTTCAGCATTGTTACAATTATACATTTTCAGTTACATCCCCATTAAACAATAGCATTTGACTTTGGGTATTAAAGTGTATGAATATCAACATTTTGGGTACAGTGTGAATGGCTTAGAACCCATCAGGTTTTGTTTTTTCTTGCCATCAAGAGATTCACCCTCTCTACCTGTCGCAGTGACAATTTTCAGAAGTGGTGGGAAATCCAGGTAGAGAAACAGAGGGAACATTTTCCAATGAGGTCAACCAGTAAAGTGACAGCTGTCCAAAGAGGGGATTGCCACTCAGTTTGCAAAGGTTGTCCTTTACTTCCTGTGTCTCCTGGACAAGAGAAGAAAGGCAATTTCCCCAACAGCAGACAGAAAAAAAAAACATTCCTAACTCTAAAGAAAAAGCTTTGGCTAAACAAACACTTAAAATTAATGACATGGTCTGATACAGGTGTTGTAATCCAGTTCATCATTCCTACAATAGCTTTGACATTACAACGCATATTGGCAAATAAGACTTAAATAGTTCTAACATTTTTGATCTGTATGTAGATTCCTTATCCCAGGAAACAGTTGGCATGATTCAGGTTGTTTGCTGACACATGCCAGGAGGACACTGGACAGTTTCAGAATGATTTCTGTGAAATGCATCGATAAATAGATGATGGCATTAACTTTCTAATGTACTTAGAAAAAGACAACTGGCATTTGATTGTTGTGATTAGTTGCTACTAATAGTTTTCCCTGATCCTAATAACATTACTGTACTGTACTGGTAAAATATTAAATTTGGCTGGTTGCTAAGAGTTGCTGTGCATTATTGCTTTATGTTTGGGAAATGTTGCTCTACAGCCTATGGCAATACTGCAAATGTTATGTAGCTACAAAAAGAAAAAAGCTCAAAGTAAAGAGCAGGACGGTGTGACTCAGCAGAAAAATCACTTGTGTAAAGCCTTAAAAAGAGATTTGAATTTATCAGAACGTTATTGTGCTTTGTGTGAAATAAAAAAATAATAATTCAGTTTTGTAAACCAATTAAGACTATTGATTAAATCTATGCAGAAGATCACTTAAAGGGTTTATACATTCATCCAAACTAAACAATTTATGTTCATTGGCTAAGAGAGTTCCACAATGTGTCTATTTTAACTGCAGTTTAGTTTGTTCAGTGTGCCCGGAAAGTCAATTCAGCACAATCCTGGGAAAAAATGAAAAACTTTCACCATTTATAAATGCAGTCATTGTATAACGCCATTTAAGTATTTACTAGTTTACAAGCCTTTCTGCATTCATATATTCATATATAAGAGGGTTCCAGTTGGTCTTCACTTAATATAATCACTGCACTAAAACAAAACTTGAATCCCATTCATCATAAAGACAAGGTTGCTAGCTATCTAAACATTGATGGACGGTCTGTAAAATACACAGGCTGAGCCTACCCTTAAAGTCAGTGAAAAGAAAAAGGGCCATAACAAATATTCATTTTCTTGCATTTCATTTTGAGCCAATCACAAAGTTTTTTTACTGATGCAGGACTGAAAACTGAATGCGTGATGGCATCTGAAAATATGAGGAGCTTACAACTTGTTGAACCGCTTTCTACTGTGTGTCACACCAACCTGCTCTAACATTGCTTCTATAAAATAGTCCTGAAAGGCAACTTATAATAGCAATTATTGCACGATAAAATCACTGTGGATAGCTCAGTATGGGATGTGGCTTCAAATGCTAAACTGTCTGTAATTTTTTGATAGCTGTCAATAAAAACTGTATTTTGGAACCTAGCATAAGGGCCAGAAACAACATAAGCAAACCCTCCTCAAGACAAACAGCCCATTAAACTAGCCGTCGCTGTCAATTACAGATAATATTCTTTAAATAAAAGCCCCCCAGACCTGAGCGGTCCTTTCCAAGGGCATTGATTTGACTGTATTGCGTCAAATTATTTAAGTTGCTTCTAGGTGAAGATCATAAAATAACTGTAACCTTGTAAATCCAATCCAATAAAAGGGTTAACTTAAAACTCTGCCCAAGCAAACATTTTATTATATGATGGTGATTAAATACTTAAAATAAAAATAAACAGCTATTGATCTGTCACTAAAGAGATCCCAGTACAGTATCATATGACATCCACATATCTTGCCTGTGTAACACATTTGTTGAAAGTTTTACTCGTAGAAGACTTGCTAAATTGACCAAAACTTTAGTTATCGGAGGCAGAGAGCTTTCCCAGAAGAGGCATAAGATGTTTATGAAAGCTGATGTAAAGCAATGGGCATAACACAATTACTTTAAGCACCACATTTAAATAGATTTTTACTTTCTGAATGGATTTGCTCCCTTCATTTAAGACTGCAAAGACCGGACAAATCAATTAGCAATTCTCAATCAGAAAGCAACTTAGTACATCAACTTAGTATAGATAGCAGTAGTTTTAGAAGACGTGATGGATGGAGATGATCAACAAAAATAATGTCTGTTTGAACCAATATTTGTGTCTACGGCAAATTACCTGAAACAGAACTAGGTGTGATAAATGACAAGTATTAGATAACTTAAAATGCAGGTGCCTAAAACTCTTTAAATAAAATTTGCACATTTTGCTATCTGTATAAATAATACACAGATAAAACCTGGACTTTAAAAAAAATACAAAGAATACAGAAACTTCCCAAAGCCACACAATTGTGGTTTGCTGAAAATAATTCAGTTCTCTCTCCTGCAGTTTGTCTAACAAAATCATATTCAATTTCCTACAACCTCGCTGTGAATGATTCTTGCTCCTAGAAATGCAATAAAAACTCCTATCACTGCAGCAATAAAGTAAAGTATCTTCATCTGTTTTCCACCGTCACCCCAGGCTAGATGTAGGGAGGTCTTGTCACGTGCATCAGAAAACTTTGGTTTTGAAAGACAACCATTTTTCAGCAATGACTTGCTCTCCTGCAGAGAAAGTGATCAACATTTTTTATCAGATCAACCTACATTGTTGGCTTTAGCAACAGTTAGATGTACAGTTATTCTAAATGGTTGAAGGTAAACACTCACATATTTATGAACCCATTGTAAGAAAATATGCATGCGAAACAAGAAGAGTTATACATGTTCTAATATCTATAAGTTATCAATTTTTGCCCATGTTTAACACAACATAAATACTGTAAGCTGCAAGTACTAAAAATAATGGTTTATTTGCCAGAAATGCAGAGTGCTACTAACCTCCCTTTTGGCTGACAAAACACTGCCTTTTCTGCTGGGAAATCCACACCAGCATTGTCCCCTTATGCCCCAACCTTCTCGATCTCACACCTCAGTAATACATTGATTTTTCTTTCCCCAAGTAAAACAATGCTGCTGCCTTGATCCCACAAAGCTGCTCACATACAGTGTGTAGGGAAAACTCTTGTGAGATGTACACTAATACCTCGGTTCACGAACGCTTCTGTTCGCTAACAATTTGGTTCACGGACAGAAAGTTCGGCAAAATTTTGCTTCCGTGCGCGAACTCCACATCAGATGACGAACACGACCGCAGCCATCTTCCCTGCTTTGACATGTGGCCGTGGCTTCCTCTAGTCGAGATCGTGGTCTGATCACAGTTTGATTCGTTTCACGACCAGAATCGTGGAACAAATTAAGTTTGTGAACCGAGGTACCACTGCACTTCTAGAGGGTGTCCCTAGATCTGTAGGAACTGAGCTTCCATAAGCCTGGAAATGAAGTCACAGGAAGTAATACAAGTGGTTTCTCGCTACAGGAACAAGGAAAAGGAATAAGAAAAAGCTAAGATGTGCTCTAAAGGGAAAGATTGCATTTGTTTGCCCTGTCAACCAGCAAAAGGGACGAAATGTTAACCTGTTTCTAACATTTTTATCAAATTTCTTTATAAAATAGCGCATACACGTGATGCCAGACACTAGTTAATGCACAACTGAACACTTTCTTCATTAACTGTGATGCAGTCAGATGGCATACACAGTAATATATACTGGCATCTTTATGATTTGTTTACATCCTATTTGCTGCAGGAAGGGGCAAGAAAGAGTGCAACTGTCTGGATCTCCAACTGTCTGGATCTCCAACTGTCTTACATACTCCCTTGCACACTGCTCCAATCAACAGCACTGCTCAGAAGGCGTGAGTGCTGTTGATTAGAGCAGTGTGCACAGACAGTTACATTCAAGGCATGCCTCTGGCATTAACAGTCACAGTTGCTAGTGTGCTTATGTCAGCTCTCAACCAAATTTTAAAGCCCTCCAATGGCTGGTGTCATAGCTGATCACATGTGCCGGACCATGGCAACTGCAGATCTAAATAGAGGCTAAAATGGCGACAACTCTAAAGAATAGGGTGGATTAATTCCCCTTTAAAAGGCACAGCAATGCAAAAATGGTCTTGGCTAACAAATGACAACTAAAGACCACCCCTATATGTAAATACAACATGGCATACAAGAAAGTGGCATCTGGGTGTGGCACCTGGCTGCATGTATGCAACAGAGACCTATATTTTTTATTAAAATGTCAGAAACAGGTATCAATTAGACCTCTCATGTTGGCTAGCAGGGCTCGGTGCCGGGTTGTTTTGTATTGCACACATTTTAAATAGGCTTGCATCAACCTGTGTGGGTGGTATTAGCATGTTTAAAAAATTGGAAAACAACCATAGTGCCCAGAGGACACACATGGCTTGTGAATTAACATTTACATGGTTCATAGAGTAGTCTCATCCCCACTAAGTCCCATAATCCTCCACCTGTATGACACTGACTCTAAATCACACTGTGCATTTCTTAGTAGCAATTAGCTCTGTCTGTTCATTTCTTGCCTTTGATATTCTCTTCCTTCAACATGCTAATAACTGTTTACCTCCTAGAAATGCTGCATCTGTGTGGGGTGATGAAGACAGACAGTGCACAGTGTTTTTGTCTGTGAAATTGGATGTAGTGTCTGCGTCGTGCTGTTCAGAGTAGTAACTCACAGCTTTGCCTTAGCGGCGTGCTGCAAATTAATTTTCCTTCAGATTTCATTCAATCAGGGACCGATGTTCATTATGCTTGGAGAGGGGAAGAGTGAAATTACACTTAAATGCTATTCAGCTGCCTCCAGGAAGGCTATTATGCAAGCGTTGCGAGATTAGTAGGAACATCAAGCATTTTATTTTTCTGTGTGCCATACACAGCACTGATTTGTTTTTAGCCTCTGTTTAAAAGATGTGGCTGTGTAATCACAAACCCGAAAAATTTGAGTTGAAAATGTATAACCATGTTGGCAAAGTGCTGATTTATTAGGTCATTTGATTTGTGGCTACTGAAATGTATATACTTCAATATTTAATAACAGTGCACAGAACTGTAGCCAGCTATATTAATGTTTTGTTTATAGCAATGTCAATTAAAGAAATACCATACAAAGGAAAAATGATGCTCAATGTACTATTTTGTTACATGTTTTATTAAATATCTAGACGCATTACTTAAAGAGGAACTTTACCCATATCTTCAACATAACAACAAACACACCTTTAGAAATGTTTAGTAATGACAATCCACAAACACATACTTCTAGATAATTGCAGGCTTTGTATACATTATTTCTCTTTTATTTCCCAGTCTTCTCACAGTGGCCATTTTTACTTAGGTCAGATTAATATATCTACCTTTACTTCCTGGAACTCTGGCACATGTGACTAAGAAATGTGACCATGCACATCATCTCAGTGGAGGAAAATGCCTTTCACTGAGATCTCATGAGATTACAGATGAGATTTCCCAGCAATGCTCTGCCGATGTAACCTTCCTAGAATGCAATGCTTGGGCACAGATTACATCATTTGTGGCAGAGTTAACCAGGAAGTAGAAAAAAAAGGAAATTGTCGGAAAAATAAAAATATGTAAGTAAGTAATATGAAAGTAAGATAATTTCATATCAGCATGCAGAGCTATATGCTGAAGTGATTTTTAGTCAAAGGGGTAAAGGTCCACTTTAACAAGCAATTGCTTCAGAAGCCAAGAACACATGTAAAAATGTAATATGTATTTTATGAGGCAAAATGGTTGTCCTAATTCCTAACCCTAGCCAGGGCTGCAATTTTTATGGCCTTACCCAACAGTGTTTAATGTGTTTGACATCAATGACTTTACTGTAGCCTAATTATCTTTGTAGGATATTTTGGTGGAAAATGGAGATAATATATGCTTATCAAGCAAGATCGTGGATAAAAGTAAAGCTTGACTTTAAATTCTGCTCACATTTACATGAAGCACTAAACCCCATTGGGAGCTTCATTGCTGGGGCCAAAAGACAGTACTACAAGAGTTGAGATTACAAAATGCCTACACCCACTTAGGCTGGATTCCCACCCAAGCGGGTAATATATTGTAAAAAGCATGTTTGTAAGGGATGTTGAAATACCATGTATTTAGAATGGCACCCAATGGGCTAGAGAAAGCTGCAATGTCCTTACATGCCATGTGTGCACTGCATTAAACAAATTCTGCAGGGAATTTTTTGGTCCGTTGTCATAAATTGACCTGACCATTTAGAATGGACTGCTTTAATGCAAAACAGGTTAATGTGCAGAAAGTGTGCTAAGAGGGCCTGAAAGTGTTACTGCAGTTTTAATGAATCAAGCCACAAATTCTACATACAATTGGGGATTGAAGTGTGCATTGCACAAACCCAATAGTTCTGACAGGAGGCTGTATAACACCTAGAAGGCAGCACAGCCATGATCTTTGCAGATCGTGGGCAGGTGAGGTAAACACTGGAGGGGGTGGGGCTGAGGACTTAGGAAAACACTAAAGGGTTAAAACAGCATAGACTTCAAATTAAAGAACAAACAATAACTATCATTATACACATAATATTTGCAATCTTCTTTGAAGCACTGCTGCCCCATTGTTACAGGCCTTAAAGTATATGCAACATATGGCTTAAATCAATTGTAAACTCCAGTTAAACCCTTATTCTGTGTGCTTTATCTAATGTGTTTCCCCAAAAAACTTTAAAAACCTGTTGAGCCTGCTAGTCTTCAGTGTTCTGCCCAACTTCCACTTCTTTATTGACCACACATGTGATAACGTTAGTGACAATAACATTCTTATTGTCTGGCCGAATGCTGCTGGCTGAATTCCCCCACTCATCACAGGAGCACAAGGTGGCAGACATGTGCAGTGAAATTTGATGAACAGCGGGCATGAAACCACAGAGATAATTACATCACTAGCAATGGCTGGGCCCAACCCCTGCTCTCAGCAGATGCTACAGAATTGTTGCGGGCATGTGACTGTTCTGCATACGACAATAAAAAGTAATTGCAAAATTCAAAATAAAATAAAATAACAAAAACAAAAATAAACAAAACAAATCTAGCCTAATTCTATGTATTGACAAAGTAATTGGTTTACATAAACTTTAAGGTGCCCAGGTTTATTGGATAGAGGTGGCAATTCAGTGAATTAATGTTTGGGCAAAACTTAGCTACCACAGAAGATGGTCAAATCTGTTACAGACCAAGCTGTCCAAGTTGGTGTTGTTGGCACCAAAGTAAAAGTGTGCACATACACACACAGAATTGCTGAACATGCTGGAAAATTGGATGAATGGATAACAGATGCTTCCAACTTGTTCTTCTAAGGTGGACTCCAAGAGCATCTCACTTGAGCATCATACCGGGCTGCCAAATTAAACTATTTATGATCAGGCTTATACTTTACTTGCCTACAATAATATTTAATTTTCAAAACCGTACTACAACTAAAACCAAGAGAAGAAAACAAGACCTTTTAACATAGAAAAACAAAGACTGCAAAACAAAATAGATGCAGCTATTATTAGAGGACATGAATAGTAAAAGTATGAAGAACATGGACAAAACGTACAAAAACTGCTTATATTAGAAGGGTACAGTGTTACTACAACATCACAAATGACAACTGACTT